GGAACTGTAACAATCCAGTGGAGCACTCACTCATGAAACTGGACAAGCTGTTCAAAAGATTTTGGGAACTTCTGGAGCAACGCTTTACACTGATGCCACCTAACCCTGAGAGGGTGGTGAGAATGCTGAGGAGTAGGGACAAAGTGGGCCTCTCTTGGGAAAATCCTGCACCATTGCATCCACTACTCATGCCAATTGCCAATCTGGGCTAAAGGGCACACACAGAAAGCCAATGCAGCATCGGCAGCAGGACATCTAGTCCTTCCGTAGCACCTGAAATGGGGAAGATCTGGTCTCAAAGAGGCCCCCGAGTCTGTGGAACACAGGTGCTGGCCTTTCGAAGGGTCTACGGCTGGAGGGCGGCCTCCTTACACCCACAACTTTCCATCCCTCACTGAAAACTTCAGGTTCAAGATGCATCCCTACAAAGTATGAGCATTGTAGACTTACTGGTCCACAGACCCTGCTTACAAACGCTTCTACACAGAGTGCTTCCCAGTGAGTAACAGACACCATTTGATTTATCCAAGCTGACACTCATCATTATGCTACTCCCTTACTTAGCTTTTATTTTTAACTTGTTCTCACTCTGATTTGATGCCCACTATTTTTGAAGCTGTACTGGCAGAGAGTGTCAGAACTTGGTGGCTTATCTAGCATGATTCTAACCTGTTTTTCGTTATACTATATACAAAAAAATATGCATTTACTCTACATGCCATGTTCAACCGTTCTTGCATTAAATGTTTCTATAGGGTTTGTCCTTGCTGTTGTGGCTTTGCAAGCCTGTTCCTCACTGCAAATAAAGAATGTAAAAAAAAAAATCTGCTCTTTCTTCCATCCACTTGATTGTGAAACGGGGAGGCAATAGTTAAAGGGGGACTTGCCAAAGCTGTTGCAGTTATGATTCTTCTAGAGTCCATTTAGTACATATCATTTCAAGAATTCCTTCTCTTTACATTCCACAAGCTATTATCAATCTATATAATATTATTATTATAAGTATTAATAATAAAGTGTTTAACCAGGAAAGGAACATCCAGATATTATTTGGTTTCCAAGTATGCCCTGGGGATGTTATTTTTGACCAACATTTAGGGGATGTTACAACTACCCAATTTAATGGTATATGTTCTGATCTTAAAGTTATTGGTAGGGTGCCATGTCTGCAGCTCTCTCTGTATTTGTTGACTGCTGTCAACTTGTGATTTATGATGTCTCCAGAACTGCTTCATGGCATTTTCCATAAGTCACACTTGCCCCTTATCTACCCTTTTAACAGACAGATATATCACCTTTTTAAAAAATATTTTTGAAATGCATAAAAATCGTAGTAAATAACATGAATTTAAAATAAACTGAAAATCTTTCAGGTTGATATAACTTTAAATGACCAAGATCTATGATGATATATTCTAAAGAATTGTAAGATATACACATATATTTACACAAATTAGGTTTGTTCCTTAACCCAGAAGGCTTTATGGCTTTATCTTTAAAATTTCTGACAAAAGAGGGAGTTTCAATGAAAATTAATGATTACAGAGGTTTATATAACCCGCTGTCCTTGCTAAACCAAATACTTATGCAAAAGAAATTTAACTTGCCTAACACATCTACGGGCTGTTCATAATTCTTCATTTGACCTTTCTTATTTTATATCCACTATAAAACATAGTTTGTTTTGTTAGACACACAAAATATATTTATCATTGTAGAAATCAATCATCTTTGAGTTCACGGTGGCTAACACATAGCATCAATAAAGAGATAAAAGGAAAACCTTTCTACTCTACTTCACAATTCTCTTTGTCCGCTCACACTCATATAGTGAGATAGAACCCCAGGTAAGTGTCCATCTAGGTAAGTAAGGCGTAGAAAAAAAAATGGAATACTATTTACAGCAACCACCCAATATCAGGGGATGCATAGTGGGGATATTTAGGAATAGGAAAGTTAGGAAGATCTGTTAATTCAGACATTATGAAACTGTTAGAATAAAGTTTTGTAACAATCTTGTATTTTCTTAAGATGTTGTATACTCTTAGGTTTTATTGGAAATGTATATGGAATGGTGTGTGTGTGTGTGTGTGTGTCCCTTCAGTAATATTACTATAGCATGTTTACTGTTTTGGTGCTTCAGTATTCTTACTGTGCTAAGTTTGGCCTCGATTTAAAGGGAAACTATCGTGCCAGGAAATCAGTTTTTTTCCTTGCACAATATCTCCCAATAGTCCCTCCTTTCCTCGCCCATGATGCAGAAGGGGTTAAAAATCCTTCTGTCACTTACCGGATTTCAGCACAGACGTCCCCTCCTCACCCGTCATCAGCCTAATGGTCATGCGCAGCAATTGCACCTAATGCATAGCGATCCCAGCGTTTTGTGTGACAGATATTTTCACGCATAGCGTGAAGACGTCCAGCATCAGTTAGGCCATCAATAGTTGCCTAACAGCCCGACTGTCCCTCTAGTGGCTGTCTGGTAGACAGCCACAAGAGGTGGAGTTAACTCTGACAGGTAATTATTACAGTTTATTAAAAATTGCAATAATTACCACCAGGGTAAAGGGACATGGGACACTGCACCCAGACCACTTCAATGAGCTGAAGTGGTCTGGGTGCCTATAGAAAAACTTTTCAAATGATTTATCTAGAAGTCATTATTAAGGACTGTAGGAATGTTTGTAAATAAATAATATGGATAGTTTTTCTAATTGTATTGAATCATTTAAAAAAGCTTATTAAAATTAGACATATGCTTCTAAATCATTAATATTTTGCACAGCTCTAATACCGAGTGCCGTTTTAAAATTACAGACGGCATAATACTAATACATTGGGAATTAAAAAGTGTCAATAGATGGAATTGTCTAACTGCAGAATACAACAGTGACTTATAAATAAATCAAGGTATAATTAGGAATTGAACATATCTCCAGTTCACCTAATAAGCTGATTTTAGCGTGGGATCTAAGCTCTACAATTTTTCTATGGATATTTCTACAAACCAATAAATAATCATTGCTGTGCATTGTGTAATTTATTATTTACAAACTCTGGTCAATAAATTCTGATGCCGTGTATTGTTTGTTTGTTTTTCCTTGCGATATACTGATTTAACACCAGCTGACAATACACACATTTTTAAGCCATATAATTGAAAGATCTAAAAAATAGATACCCCAATATAACCTCAAAGCCCAGGGTTAAATAAAGGTTAAATAAAGAAAATAATTAAATTACAATCAGAAATCAAGACGTATAAGGTAAATAAATAAATTGGCAGAACAGTAAAAATCTGTAAAATTTAATATAAATACACTATAACCATGCAAACTATGGTTTCTCCATTTGGAACCTTTAAATTGCAAACACATAACACTATACCAGGTCTATTTACAGTTTTAGTGAAAAATCGAACAATGGTCTATCCTCAGTCAGTTTGTGAATATAATGGAACCTGTAGTAGTGTGTTTAATAAATGTATTCAATTCAATTAAAAATACACTTTGATTTTAAAAATAAAGATTGAGCCTACCGGGAGGGATAGTTCTCCAAACATGCTAGAACTGAGATGTTTCCATGGTCACTCAATGTTAGATCCTGAATGGTAAGCATGGATTTTCCAATGTTACTTATGTGATATATTGACATGTTATCTACAATTGAATCTAGCTATGCAGACAAAGGGATACATCATCTGTGCTAAGCGCAAAGAACTTACAGATATCCCGATCCCTGATGATTGCCTGTCATCTCGACAATGTTTTGCTTTGTCTCCTGCATCCCCTCTTAATTGCCTTGATTGTCTTCTGTCACCTTTAGTTAGTCTATGACCATTTTATGCATGTTTATCCAGTGCTAAACTGTGGTTAACGTGTTCTGCTTTTAGTCTGCGTATGATATTAAATTGTATTTTCACTCTTCTAGAAAATCTTTCATTCATCTTTTCATCTAAATCTGTGGGTATGGGAAAGGGAAGTGCAGGGTGCGCAACCAAAAAGGAATCTGGTCTGGATTCTAAAAATACATAGTAAAATTTTTTTTCAAAAAAAGAGAGAGATAGATAGAGAGAGAGAGAGAGACAGAGCATTGAGGGCACACTCGGAATGTGCAGTTCTCAGCCATGGTGCTGTCATAGAGACCAAAATGTATACAAAATACAGATTAAGAAACAGCTCACACATAAAAAAAGTTTAAAATTTTACTTAAAATCACCTGTTGCAGCAAGCAAGTATGGGGAGTCAGTTTCACCATTGAGCCATATTGTGTTAAGCTCATCACTAGTTCACAGTACCCCAATATCAGTGGGTTCTACACGGATTTTAACATGGGAGACAAATTAAATAGTGCTAGTGCAAAATGAACTAATGTGTATTTAATTAATCTGTTGTAAGAGCATGCTGAACTGAATACTCATTTGTTTTCTGAGATAGGTGACATTAAGTAGCTTTGTAAAATGTAAAACGGTTTGTGTATTGGCTGTCCCTTAATCTGTATTTTAGATTCATATTGGTCTCTACAGTAGCACCATTGCTGAGAAATGCATGTTCCGAGAACAAGATAAGCAGTGAGTAGGTGCAAGTTTGTCATATTGGAGGTTCTACATCTGTCCAGCATTAGATAGCGTTTTGTTCCTAAGGTTTTGGGTAGATAAAGAAAATGAAAACAGATTCACTTTCAAAACATTAAATGGTAAAATGGGCCACACACTATTTTTAAAGCTCCGTTTCTCTATTTCAGAGTCTGATAAACAATTTGTCTCTGCTATGTCACAAGAACTGACTGGCTTCAGTTAAAGGACCACTATAGGTACCAAGACCACTACTGATTAATGAGGTGGTCTGGGTGCCTGGTCCAGCTAGGTTTAACCTTTTTTTCTATAAACATAGCAGTTTCAGAGAAACTGCTATGTTTATAAATGGGTTAATCCAGCCTTTAGTGGCTGTCTCATTGACAGCCGCTAGAAGGCTTCCGTGCTTCTCACTGTGAGAAGAAGCCAGCATCCATAGGAAAGCATTGTGAATGCTTTCCTATGGACTGGCTGAATGCGCGCGCAGCTCCAGCCGCGCATGCGCATTCAGACGAAGAGGAGGAGAGGAGGCGGAGAGAAGGAGGAGAGCTCCCCGCCCGGCGCTGGAGAAAGAGGTAAGTTTAACCCCTTCCTCCCCCCAGAGTCTGGCGGGAGGGGAACCCTGAGGGTGGGGGCACCCTCAGGGCACTATAGTGCCAGGAAAACGAGTTTGTTTTCCTGGCACTATAGTGGTCCTTTAACCCCTTAAGGACCAAACTTCTGGAATAAAAGGGAATCATGACATGTCACATGTCATGTGTCCTTAAGGGGTTACGGTATTGTGTAGTGTTTGAACAGCAGTTTATTTTGCTGTCTTCCAAGGCTTTCATATGTATTCATCCCAAAGCAGATTTAGAAGTGCTGACATTGTACATGGTGATGTGATTTTTCTAATTTATTTCTCTTCGAGGATCTGTCTGGAAGCTGCTGGCCCATAAATATACTTCACCACAATCCTGCAATACATTAAGATAAACTTTTCAAGCATTTAAACATATTTATATAAAACATGAATAAATGAAACACAAATACATTGAAAACTATAGAAGTAGCTGTGTCGGCCCCAGTACTTTTAATACCCGCAGACTTTTCCATCCGGGGGGTTGAAACGAAATAATGTTAGAGACGATCAATGATGCTACTTGTAAGATACACCGAACAATTCACTAGACTGGGAATGGTGGAATTGTGGGAAATTGACAAGGTGATTGTATAACATTTAAAGCAGTAAAAAGTAAAGGAGCGGTTTTTTTTCAGTTTAATACTAATCTACTAGTACAAAATACCAGACTTGTGCATGGTGAGAAATTCGATTTGTCTTAAATATTTATCCTGAAAATACACAATTTTTTGGCACACCCTAATTTCCGTCATAAGTCCGTTGATTCTTGGGCCAATAATATAATGTATGTATTTTGCAGTACACCATTTGGTTCACAGACCAAGTGAGGAAAAGTAACCAATAAAGGGAATGTATATGTATATAATATAGATTTTTTTTATACTGCTCCTCTGTTTCTCCCTTCTCTTCCCACTTGATTTGTAAATAAAATCAACATTTTGTGACCATCAATCATTTCTTTTTTTTTTTTTTTACGCTACAAGAGGAATTCACAATCACAAGTCAAACCCAACGTTTTTGGTCATTGCATGACTTGTTTGATTCATTTTGGTAAATTTTGGCTCGGAGTTTGCAAATTTGGCCGATCACACAATCGGAAAACAAATTTGTGTGAATTTCAATTCCGTCTGTGTTGTATATTCAAATCTATAAAATACAATATTAAAATTATTTAACTTTGAAAAGATAAGGTTGCTTTCTTCTACTTTTTTTGTGGTGCCAGACAAAGGAGGAATCTCAAAAAATAAAATGCCAATCACAAAAATGACCACTGATCACTACTAATGTTCTGTAATTTGTCGAAAACTGTGTAATTTCCACTCTTTACTGGATTTTCTGCTGCATGTAAGATGCATACCATTGCTCTATGACATTCACCTGGTGCTCCTACCTCGAAAAGTAGGCACCACATCAGTTTCACACCCTCAAACTTCTTTGCCGGGGTTTCTGATGTCAGACCGTGTAGCCATGCCCCTTTATGACATTGTTAAGTGATGTCCAGTTTGTGACATTATCACATCATTGCTGATGTCCACTCGGATTTAGGGGCATGGCTATCAAGGAAATACCCCAGTCCTATATAAATAACCTGAGCTTTACATCTTTTCAGTGCTCAGTTGTGGTTATCTGAGAGCATGATTTATTGGTCTTGGCTCGTTTCAGCTACTCTTAACTCTGTATCCCTGTCCTTGGCTCGTTTATCAATTCTGTGTACCTCCATAGTCCTTGATCTCTGATTGTTTCTCAACATTCCTATTTCTTGCATTTTGCATGTAAAGCTCGGCCACTGTACTGTGTGGCTTTATTCTGCATGTTGTGTTATACCTTTCCAGACACTGAGAACATTCAGTCAACTGCATGGAAATGCATGCATGTGCAGCTAATTGCAATGCATGGGCTATTGATTGTGATCAGGGTAAGCACAATTCCCTTTGCCAAAAACCCACTCCACAAAACTTGAGTTCGTGATCATCATCATCATGTTGAGCTAAGCTTGAGTTTCTTTAACCCCTTAAGGACACATGACATGTGTGACATGCCATGATTCCCTTTTATTCCAGAAGTTTGGTCCTTACGGGGTTAAACAAGGCACAGTTTTAAAGTTACTGCAGCATTCAGAGGTGACCTACGAGATTCACACTGATCTGTCTGCACACAACAGCTTAACGTAATTATCATGGTGCCTAAATGCTGTCCCTGGAGGTTGACTTTTGTAAGCATTACGGTGTCTAAGAATGCTTGCATTTGTCAGTATGTGCCTGTAGAGTGTGTCATTATCAGGACCTTGATCCTATACTCACCTACCTCGTGTTCCAACGCCGTGTCTCTCTATCACTCCACGAGGATGCTGTGTCGGTGCGGTCAGCTCAACCACCCACGCAGACTGCTCACGTTCATACAAATGTCACCTCTGTTCGTGCGAACGCCACTTACCCAACACAGAAGACAGAACTCCATACGTACAAATGCAACTTCTGTTCATGCGAACGCCACTCACCTATACTGATCGTACAGATGCCGGCTCCCGAACACAGCAAGGACAGAAGTCTGTTTGTGAGACTGCCGCTGCTTCCACGTGCAACCACACAGAAGGTGGAAATTCAGTTGAATTAAAGGGCTTGCACGCTGATACCGAGCCTTTAAAAGATACAGGAGGTGGAGACCAGGTTGGGACCTCAATTAACAATACCAACCACTTTCCTTGTTTAAGTCACACACACCCTTCACTCTTCACTCAGTTGTACTATGCTCCTGATGGTGTAAAGACGGTCAGAAACTGTCCTGTTGTATCCTGATCCTGATTTTTGACCCTTACCTGTATCATTGCTTCTGAACCTGTGCCCCCTGTCCTGACCATTGGCTTTACCGATGACTCTCTTTATCTCATCCTTTTGTACTGCGAACTTGGTCCATTGCCTTCAGCACCTATCTGCATCTTGGGCTGCGTCCGCTAAACTGTGAACCCAACAGTCAGATGGCTGCTAAAGGTATTTCCTTGTAAAAAGTGTAAGAAAATGTAGTCTGCACATATGCAGGAAAGTCTTCCAATACATAAGCATGAGGTGAATCCTAATGGAGCATGTGCAGCAATTGTGACATATGCACAGTAGGTCAATTACACCCTGTTCCAAATTATTATGCAAATTATATTTTTCTCATTTACCTAAATTGATGAAAATAACAGTCAGCATAATTCTCATGTTATCAACTATTAAGAGTACAATTCAAATTTTATTGAACAAACCTCTTAATGATAACAGTATTTTTTTTTAAACATAAAAAACTTACAATGCACTGTTCCAAATTATTACGCACAGTAAGTTTCACAACACTTTATAGGTTCTAAAGAACTGAACATTGTCATTTGTTGTGTTTGCAGCATATTTACTGAAATCAAAAGCTATTTCAGTCAAACTTATAACAACATTTTAATTTTTAAACATTTTAACAGGCCACGTTACATTTTAACATAGGACCCCTTATTTGATAGCAGCTTCACAATTCTTGCATCCATTGAACTTGTGAGTCTTTGGACAGTTTCTGCTTGAATTTGTTTGCAAGATGTCAGAATAGCCTCCCAGAGCTGCTGTTTGGATGTAAACTGCCTCCCACCCTCATAGATCTTTTGCTTGAGGATGCTCCAAAGGTTCTCAATAGGATTGAGATCAGGGGAGGATGGAGGCCACACCATGACTTTCTCCCCTTTTATCCCCATAGCAGCCATTGATGCAGAGGTATTCTTTGCAGCATGAGATGGTGCATTGTCATGCATGAAGATGATTTTATTACGGAAAGCATAGTTCTTCCTTCTGTACCAGGGAAGAAAGTGGTCAGTCAGAAACTCCACATACTTTGCAGAGGTCATCTTTACACCTTTGGGGACCCTAAAAGGGCTGACCAGCTCTCTTCCCATGATTCCAGCCCAAAACATGACCCAACCACCGCCCTGCTGACATCGTAGCCTTGTTGGAACAGGGTGGCCGTCCACCAACCATCCACTACTCCATCCATCTGGACCATCCAGAGTTGCACGGCACTCATCAGTGAACAGGACTGTTTGAAAATTAGTCTTCATGTATTTTTCTGCCCAATGCAGCCGTTTCTGCTTGTGAACATTGGTTAGTGGTGGCCGAATAGAAGGTTTATGCACAGTTGCAAGACTCTGGAGGACTCTACACCTTGATGTCCGTGGGACTCCAGAGGCACCAGCAGCTTCAAATATCTGTGTGCTGCTATGTAATGGTATTTTAGCAGCTGCTCTCTTGATCCGATGCATGAATCTTCCTCAATGTGCCTTTATCTGCACGAACCAGTCTGTACTTTGAATCAGCCACAAATCTCTTAATAGTGCGATGATCACGCTTAAGTTTTCGTGAAATATCTAATGTTTTCATACCTCGTCCAAGGCATTGAACTATTTCGCTCTTTTCGGCAGGAAAGAGATTCTTTTTCTACCCCATATTGCATGAAAATGGTGCTCTGCTTAATAATGTGGAACACCCTCCTTTGGTAGGTTTTCTTTAAATTGGGCTCACCTGGCAATCTAATTATTACAGGTGTCTGATATTGTTTTCAGTGATCAAAAGAGCCCTGAGACATAATGCCATCCACGAGTTAAACTGAAAAACAAAATATTTGATCTTTGTGACACTTAAATAGAATTTGCATAATAATTTGGAACAGGGTGTAATGTTTCTTTGTAGAGAAGTATTTGATTGGCCGAGACCATCCTTCCAGATGATCTCACCAGAAGGAGGAGCAGCTGCGGCAAATCCAAAGAAGAGTTTAACTTAATTTTTATTAACAGAGTGGGCTCTGAGTCTAAATGGGACCTGGAACACACCAATATTCTAAATACATATTTGTTGTACATTTTCAAGTGTGTAGGTAGAGGAGTTCATGGTTTTGAAATATTCAGTCATGCTGATCTAGTAATTTTGTGCTCATTGATCCAATTGAACTCTTTCACCATATTAAATACATGCTCATTGAGTGGCAATGATATAAAACATGTTGGATGAGATATATACGGTGAAAGCTAATTAAGTACATTGC